AGCGAACGTCGAGTCTTACAAACAATATTCGACTCATTTAATAATCAAGACAAATATTTTTCTTTAATGGAAGTATAAAGATATGTTCGAAACAATTTTAATTGCTAGGTATCCTTGGGTTTTGTAATTTATTTACTGCGAATAATGTCTTTTAATATCTTATAAAGAAAATAAGGATAATTTTTTTATTAATTGTAGCAGCTTTATTTCTTTGTTTACAACTTGGTATTATGTGAAATTATTAATAATAGCCTACTCACCTTTGTTTACTTGTTTAATCGAGAACAGCAATATTTGGAAAGAACATTCGATTTATAAAACGAAGAAACTTAGCAAGCTTATCAACAAAGTGCATATTACATAGAATGATAATTTGAAGTATCGAAAATTTATTAAAGTCAATAAATAAGCACCAAATCAATTTCTAACGCTAATAGCTGTTTCACTCATACATTACATGCTTGTATGTCCCACTACAGCCCAGTCCAAATACTGCACAGCCCAGTCTATACTGGGCTACAGGTGCAGTATTTGAGTTACTTTTGGTAGAATTACGTAATTGGAATATATAAAATACGTAATCGATATTTCAAATAAATAATACTGTTAAAAAACTTTATTTATCTACATTAATATATCAGTTTAGCCTTAAATAATAGTTTGAAGTTACAGGATATTATGTACATAAAAATGTCTCGTTGTATTTCAGACCCTACCTTTTTAGTAAAACTAGTCACATTTTATGGAATATCACGTCTCGGCTAGCTTTAATAAAATTACCACTAAGCCGTAAATATATATAACTTAAACCTAGAGCTATAATATTGTCTTGGTGGTGTGGTGGTATAGTCATGTTACCAAAAATAACCCATTTCAAAATACTGCAATTTGAAATTTAGATAAAGGACAACAAAATATCGTATTTTGCAATCTATATTTTAATTAAGACATAGACCTCAGTCCCAGTTCGATCCCCGGCCGGGTCAATGTAGAAAACTAACTTTTCTACATTCTCCAGTCTGGGTGTAAGTGGTACCGCGTTGTTTCAGATTTCCATAACTTATAACTGCTTTAGTTACTTACTTTGGGGTCAATTATGTTCTTAGGTTATTTTACGTACTTATTTATCCAATTTATACAATCTTTTACTGTAGACTAATTAAATTACATATGTATAATTTTCAATGACAGTGATGATTTAATGAATGTCAGCTTTATATTGAATTACTAATTCACGTTCATTTGCAATAATGTGAAGATTGGTGATGTCATGTTTATTTTGAATTTCAATTAAGATTCCAAATTCGGATACGTAATTCAAAATAGAATATTTCAGATGAAGACTAACATGTAAGGTCCTTTATTAGTCCACATCCTTCAGTTAATGTATCCGGACGCACTTTTACTACACGAAACGAGCATTTCATAAATTTAGTTCAAGTAAGTTAGTCTTTTTATTGTAAATAATAGACACACCTTTGGCTACAATGTCACTTGATACTGAACGGTGATGTGACCTACGATAGTACGCGTAAAGGTAAGTTAACTACGGAACAATTTTTTTTCAGGTGCCTGTCCGCGTCGTAAATGTTAAATGGTTTCAGTCAACTTGAATTTTGGTGAGCAAATAAAAGAGGACATCATATTGTTATTCATTTATGTAATATACATTCATACACTTTACGCCCGTTTCCACTCGATATAGGCAAAGGTTACCTAACACACATATTACGCCATTTCTTTTATATGTAAATAATAATAATATATCTATATAATACATTTTGACATCAAACGTCGAAAATTTTTTTCTGGGACTTCCAAACAAAACACCGTATAGAGTAATTCACAATCTAATTTGTTTATTTTTATTAAAATATCCAGCAAAATACGGAATACCTAGAATCGTGAAAAGTAACATTACTTATTTTACAATTTTCTCCACTGCGGTTACGTTTACCAGAGTATATTATATCACAAACATAAAATATGCGAAATACATGTCCTTTGATGATTTTCGCAACATTTCGCTTGAATATTTTAATGGAAATGTGAAAATATTGTTACAAGTTTTTTACCTTTTATCTGAACATTAATTGTTGTGTTAATTTAAGAATATTCAATTATTTAACGAACACTACCTACATTACACTAATGCTTTAAATTTGACAAAAATAATGTTCGTAATTCAAATTTTTCTCTTTTACAAAAAAAATATTTTAAAATTATTGGTAAAAGGTAACCAAAATAGGTTTTAATACGAAAATCAAAAAGAGTGAAAATTTTAAAGATTTTATTTATTATGGTATACACATTTTTGGCATAGGTCTCATACAACCAACACTAAGAACTCTTTCTTCCTTCTATAACAACGAGAGCTCTATAGTAATTTCAAGAATTTTTTGAACCTGGAAAATTGTGATACTAGGTCGTAATCTAAAATCGCCCATCTCAAAACAAAATTAAAATAGCCGAGCTTCTCTAGGGAACGAAATTACGGTATCTACACACGTAAGGTTAAATAGAGTTTTTAAAAATATACTAAGAATAATTGGAAATATGTGGAGAGATTTGTAGTTAAGTGGCTTAGCGTTTACTTCTTGCATTATTTTGTTACTATGTACATGAATTTTAGTAAGTTTTTAAGCAAATAAGTTTTTAAGTTTTCTATTTAGATTACGTACAAAGCCTTTGTGGACGTGGTAGTAATAACTACCACGTCCACGACCGAAGTAATACTTCGGTATGTTTCTTTGGTATTCCTTATTAGACACTATAAAAAGCCTCGTTTTATAGAAACCTTTTATCAGGTTTTTTTTATTATTCTATTTTTAAATAAATATTGTGCACATTGATTGTGAATGATAAATGTGAACAAATGTCTTGCAAAAAAGTAACCCCTAGAGTGTCTTACTCATTCTTCTCAGGGGAATCTGCTTTACGAATGAGTAGAGGTTTTTAACCAGTTCGACGATTCAAAGAGTAATATACCACCCATATAATACCAATGATATTTAAATATTTTATCTTTTACAAGAATTAAAATTGAGCTTTACTCAAAATCTTTTACAAACGTTTTAATTTTTTACGCGAATTCAGTACAATAACAAGTCAATAGTACTACAAATTAATTTTTGACTAACTCCATAAAGATGCTATCTTCAGGATATTAAAAAATGAAAAGTATTGTAATAAATCATATAGACTGATATACATTAAGATCTCTATCTATCTAGACGATTAAAATTCTCGAGTCCAGTTTTTGAACATTAACAGGTTTCATGTTAATTACAAAGTTTAAATTAATGGGATTTATTATGGACTGTGATTTAGTAGCTATTTCCAGAAGCTCTTTTGTTTTCTTGACTGATTGAAGTCCATACATTGATTCCGTAAAGATGAAATTTATTGGAGCTATTGGGAGCTACTCGGGTGAAAACAATAGATTCTGGAATTCCAAGGAACAATGAAAATCTTAACATCTTTTGTTTATTATTTTTTTAAATGACGACTATTTTTTCATTTTGCAGTACGTAAGTACGATCATTTTTAGACAGAATTAGAAATTAAAAAAAAAGAATATTGACGATAATTTTAATGAATGTAAATGAAAACTGTTAGCATTCTTATCAAGCACTTTTTACTCCTTGACGTTTAATTATAATTATTTTTTCTCTTAATTATAATAAGATTTTGTAATACGTTAATAGATAATTAGTAATAATACACATCTGAATAATATACATTAATTGCATGCCAAACAAAGTTGGATAAATTTAATATATGAATGTACCTTATTTTGAAGAACAAAATAGATTGCTTGATAGTTTTTGATTCCGAACACGATATATGTACATTTTTTAATGACTCAGGGGCAGTGCATAGACCTAATCTTATTAGTCGTTTCGACTCAGATCAGGTTTTTTTTGTAGTTTTCTGACACATTTATTATTAATTAATTCGATATAAACACCACATTATACTTCGTTACGTTACTTTGCTGTTCCGTGACGTTTTTTAAATATCACTACGTTTTTTTAAATATCACTAAGTTATACGTCATATCGATGCGAAAATTATTTCGGAGTTTTATGTTATTTATTAGTTTACTTGAATTAAATAGTTTAACGTTACAACTATTACTATCTTTTCTTTAATCCTGCAAAGGATGGAAAAGCATCCATTTCTAAATTCCGACTTTTGTCGTATGAATTTCAATCACTTAAACAATCTAAGTCATAAAAAATCAACTCAACCAAATTTTATGTTCCTAAACAGATACTTTGGTGGTCTTTCGTGAAATATATACCATAATGGTCTACTAATTGACGAGACATTAGCTGGAAACAATATTGTAAGAATTTGTGTGGGCCTTAGTTCATCGACTTGCGTTATGCGGGCTCCAGCTTTCTTTTTATAGTGTCAAACTTTTAGCTTCTATAGTTACGTTCTATTTCTACTTAACTTGTTTCTTTAATTAAACATTACGTTCTCTTTTGTTTTTTTTTTAAAGTTAGTATATCATTATTTTTTTTAAATTGCAGTGTGGTGTACCGTTAATAAGACGTTCGATTTTCGTTTTGGCTTATTATGGCTGCATTATATTATTTTTAGATTTTTTTTATTAAATATTTAGGTTTGTTTTTGTATTTGTTGAGTCTACCGCTCGTGTTTACTGTTGCCGTTACTGTTAATTGACACAGTTAAATAAACGTTTTTGCTCTTAGTATTTTTGTTATTTTTAATTGTATATAGTAAGTAACGTCTTGTCTTTTGTTTTTGTCCAATTACTTCTTCAATGGACACATCGCCATAAATCTTGGATTCAATATTCCTCACATCGCATTAAAATTTATCTTCTAACTATTTATTACAGCAATTACTCATGAACGCAAATGAGTCTCTGTTACTTCGCTAATAAATCTCGGAGATAACCCCAAGCGACCCGACACAGAAACCATAACGGTATAAGATAAAAAATAATAATATTAAACTCCACTCACCTAAAACTACCAATATGAAACACAAACTAATGTACAAGATCATCAGGAATCTTTGGTAACTAATAAACTAAATATATCACACGGGAACACGGCAATCATCTAAATCGCCGATATTTCATATCACAGTACACATCACTATCTACACAATTTTGGCCGCACAACGATCCCATCAGGCCATCACTATGTTACCACCACACATTTTTTGTAACACCGAGTGCATTCGGACAACTTTTTTTTTCAATCCAACTTAAAGTTTCGGTCATCGTACGCAATCCAGGCTCGTACGATCGTCCACAACACTTTCCATCACTATTTAAAGAGTAAAACTTAGTTTCGATTCAAATTTCGAATCTTTGAACACTTTGAATTGTTTAACTGATGTATTATTCGATAGTTTAAGAGCAAGGACCGACACAGGTCCGTCGTCTGTGACGGTCGGGACGCAACTGGCGTGAAGTTTGTCCTGATTGGTGAAGAATGCGCCGCGCATGGTTGCCACACCGTCCACGCTCGACTTGTTCGCCGACCGAAATGGAGAGGCGCACTTGAACACCTAATTTACAATAATGCGATGCGTTTCAAAGTTGGTTGGTTAATATAACCAGATAGACAGTCTTGCATTGTGAGCGTCGTCGCCCTCCTTCATTGCTGGTACGTTTTCAAATATAGGTGCAGGGTCCCGAATGGCTTTGGAATACAATCTTTGTATTGCCATCTCTTTCGTGTAGAAATAAAAAAAGAAAACAGGTAAACGCTCGAGGCCCATGGTGTTCAATGGCCTACAGTTACGGATATTATTTCGGAATATATTTTGTTTTGCATTGGATCCGTTGATTTCCAATTTCGATGACTTCCTGAGCGAATTGGAATATGGAAATGTTTGGATTTATTGGAAATTATGGAATGTGAATTTTATTTCTGTATTGTGACCGACGTACAATACTTCTCTACACACTGTGCCCACTTCACGTGACTTCGAAGAATGTTGGACATCCGTCTTCCAGATTTATTCCTTTACCATAGAATACTAATGTGACAAAAGACCACCCCAATTACCTGGTCAAAATAAGTAAATTTCTTGTACTATAAATACTTAACCTACGAAATTAACTTCGGAGCACTGTTCGGAACAAAAGGACTAGAACAGTTTAAAAAAATATATATATTTTTTTTTATCATCGTTATACGGGACTTAGACGGGACGAACAAGTTATGCGCCTGGTAGCAAGTGACACGCCTGCCCATAGCAGCTGCAATTTGAATCGCAAAAATCTATCTGGTGCTACTGTCATTGCGTCATCTAAAAACACGTACTACCACCATCAGAGAGATGGATTTCTCTATAGAATAAACGGCCTTACGCTTGCTAGGTTGCTTATTTACTTTTTTACATATTAGTTTATTCAGGGTTCCTTTTCACGTAGTTTTAAGAAACTTCATTAATAAGGTTAGGTCAAATTATTTTTATTTAGTAAAAGAAGATTAACTGAAATTACAGGCACATAGGACATGTCAACTTATGTCTCAGGGTGACGGTCGCAGTGGCAGTGCCCCTCAAATCTTTGCAATTTAACTGAGTGGCACTGCAACTGTTATCTTTACTTACTCAACTCTTATATATGGACAGGCGTGTAGCTTACCATCAGGAGCACGACTTGTTCATCCCGTCACTTACTATAAAGAAATAATAGAAAACTGAGAAAGTTCTTTTTTAAGACGGTTGTCAACAATACGATTGCAGTGCCACCTAGCTTTAAATCACAAAGATCTGAGGGGCACTGCCACTACGCCTGTCACCTTGAGACATAAGTTAACACCCTTATCCTTTAAAACCGTAACGCAGTAGTGCTCACAGTACTATTTGGCAGCAGAAATAGGTGAGGTGGCTGTGCTTCCCAGGACGAACTTATTCACAAGACGCTCTACTGTGTTTCATCTAGCGTCTAATTGTCAACTAATAAATGTAACCGCAAAATCTCTCCATAACTATATTAACAAATTAAAACGGCTCATTCATTACATAATCTTGTCGAGTATTTCATATATACTTCAATTCATTTATTATCAAAACGGAGTCAATAAATCACACAATAAATTAAACAATCTATTAAGAATACGATTCGTAGATCGATTAATCGATTCATCTCGGAATCGATTAGAAATAATTTTAAATTGAAAAATCGATGCCCAATATCGATAAAGCTAGGCGCGAAATCTGTTACATCGTCCAACCTTGATGTCAAATGAAGCAACATTTTTTTGCACTACGATCAACGTATGCAGACCCCTGACAGGTGAAAGGTTGTATTAACGTGAAAACTATTTGGCAATGCAATACAATGAAAGAAGCATATTAGGTATAGTTATTTTTTTCACTGATACAATGAAAACTATTTAATCTAAAATATGTACGTACAAACTTTAGTCAGAAACGCTTATTTATATAAGTACAAATTATAGGTAAGTCCATATTAAAAAACGTTTTAGAACGCAGCTGTCAACGATGTGTAAATAATGTAGAGTCTAGATGTCCGAGTTCTAATGTTGCTTACACTTAGTTCCACAAGTCTCGATAGCACTATACTCCTTTACAAGGAGATATAGATCTCCTTGTAAAAGAGTTCGTCCAGGGAAGTACTGCCACCTTACCTATTTCTGCAGCCAAGCAGTAGTGTACGCATTACTGCGTTCCGGTTTTGAAGGGTAAGGGTGCTGGTGAAATTTTTTAGGCTAAAAATTATCTTTCTACACTTGCATATTATTATTTCACTTTTATTTCTACCAATAACATTTTTAAATACTTGATTTATACTTTATGAAATGTGTTACTATTTATTTAAAACTTTTTATATTTAATTTAAAAGCTTGAAGTAATAGGTCAGCTGACAGAGGTCTAACTAAAATGGCCATTAATAAAATTTAACAGGCAAAAGGGTACTGGTTTCCCTCGTCTCATGATTGGCAATGTTCTAAAAGATATAAATTTTATTAATTGTCTATGAAAGGTCGTTTTCTAAAAAAATATGAATATTTTTATATTTCAATGTTGTTGTTGGCACGACTATTTAGCATTATTTATTGTTGTATTAATTTTAAAAATGGAAAAAAAACGTGTTTATTTTAAATTTATATTTTTACAATGACGAATATCATATGATTAAAATATAAACAACCTGAGTGTACATGCAACTTACACAACACGTGTTTGTTTGCCCGTAGGGTATTGATGCTGACTAAGTATGACCACCAATACAAACAATTGTTATTAGTCATATCAATAACATCGAGAATTAGAGACGAAATGTCATTTTTTTTTTATTGAAAACTATTATACCAAATCATTACTGTGACAACTGCGCTCCGAATGGCCAGACCGAAATCGAAACAATTGACGGGTGTCGTCAACTGTTTCACTTCAAATCGGTCTTAGCTTGAGCTTTGCTATAATGGACGAAAATTGCTAAATTACATTAATAAATACATGATATTTTTGGATTATACGGAGACGCACACACAGGTCAGTTGTTGACGCTGTACTATTTCTGTTTTCTAATTTGTGATTTCAGCGCAAACGAGAGTTGATATTTGGATATGAGTTGATAGATGGCCCTTATTTCGTCTCTATTTCTGGCTAAAACTGGATGTATCAATATTATATGCCTGTACGATTTATAGTATATACAGCGTGTTTTGTACAATACGAACAACCTCACAGGAGTGTATTATTAACATCAGAAACTACAACTTTTGTTCCATGGCTTCTAATGTCAGATTTTACTTTCTTACAAAACTAATATTTAAATAGATCGCTCTAAATGTAAGCGGTAATAACCACGTGCGGTACCTTGCTACCAAATGCAGATTATAAAAGTGTCAGATGGTACAAACGAAACTTAAAAAGTTTATTTGTGGTAAATTCGTTACGTTGAACAAAAGTTATTCTTTGTTATGTTAGTCATATCGACACTGGAAAGCAATCTGGTCGTACCAATCATAATATCGTATTAGTAGCAGTAGAGCTCCATGTGAAAGAGTTCGTCCAGGGTAGTACTGCCACCTCACCTATTTCTGCCGCCAAGCAGTAATGCGAGCATCACTGCATTCTGGTTCGGAAGGGCAAGGGTGCTGTTGAAATTGCAGGCACATGGGACATGTCAACTTATGTCTCAGAGTCCGGGCGCTGTGGCGGCGGTGCCCATCAGACCTTTACGATTGAAAGCTCTGAGTGGTAATCAATTGCTACACCAGAGGCACAACTTATTCGTCGCGTCATTAGATATCATAAAAAAATCTAGAAATTATGAGTTTTTTTTTTTACATATTTTTGGAGAAAAAAACCGCAATTTTGGTCTATGAGTCGTGATACTACGACGATATTTTTTATTATACAACGTCGATATTTGAACCACATAAAAAAAATACTGCAACTAAAACTTTACAAGTTCTATTTTTCGAGATACGACAAGTTGGCTTTCCAATGTCGATATAGTTTTGCAACGTTGTGACACAACATGTGTTAGTAATCATAATACACTATTCTAAATAATATAGTATATACAGAATATACCGTTTAGAAAACGTATAAACAACTAACTATAATTAGGTACGTTTGAAAATTTAATTTGTCAATTATGTAACACGACTTCTTTATTCTGTAACGAAACTCAATTAAAAGTTGATTGCTCCGTTACGCCATAATAACGCTATCAATTTATTTACTTACACAATATTGATGAACAAATTAGGTTATTTTTTGGTACGCAATTTTTAGAAGTAGAAAAAATTTGTTAGGAAAAAAATGAAATGACTGTGTGTTCGTAAATGTCAAGCATAATGCGTGAGCAAGTTTTTCTTTAAGTATTTTTTATTGCAAGTTTAACGAATCAATAAATAAATATTAGACAACATCACATACGTTGCTCTGATCCCAAAGTAAGTTAGTAAACAGACCCGAGACAATATAGAAAAGTTAGTTTTCTAGGCTGACCCGGCCGGGGATCAACACCGGCACCTCAGCGACGGCGACACCACGAAAACCGACCACGGAGGCCGTCGAGTGGATGAATAGATAATCATTCATATGTTCCATATAGAAAATAGTAAATAATGAGACATACATTATAAGCTTATAAACTAAATGCGTCTACGCTTAAAGGACATCACGGCAAGCAAGGGCAACAATATAAAGTATATCTAAAAATTGTCGTCGGTGTTATGCAGAAAGGGTGACAACGCCATTTTGAAATTTTTCCAAAGGTTTTAGGTTTTAACGACTGTTTTAAAATATTCACATCCTGTTTTAAAATTCAATTTTGATTTTAATTAAGTTTAAGATTTATAATTGAATTTAGAACAGGACGTAATTATTTTCAATTGGTCAAAATTTTTTCGAGAAATGGCAGTAGACCTCCTTGTGAAAGAGTTCGTCCAGGGAAGTAC